TCTATTTTGAATACCTTGATCTGCAACTGATATCATATAATTTATTTCGTTAAAAGCAATCTAGAATACAATGCCAAATATTTGAAAAACGAGCACATTTAAATTCCCACAATCAAAGTGGTGGCCGGATCAAAAAAGGGCCCTTAGTCTCAGCCACAAGGCCCCGGGCCCATCGTTAGGCCACTGCCGGTGAAGTACCCAATCACCACCAGAAGGACCTCATTGGAAACAAGTATTCTTCCGACTTTTGTGGGTTATCCTTGGAGTTTATACCGAATATATCCATCCACCCATAAGGGACAGATATAGAGAAAGAATTTTGTTTAGAAATGGTGGAGACCACAGACATTAAAAAAATAGCTTGGTTAGGAGTATTCCTACAGTGACGTCATGCTCCCTTCTTTCTGGTCTTTTTTCTTTATGTTTTGAGGGTTTAGATAGACCCGTGTCTCCTGGACCCACCCTGAAACGATTGATTGTTTGATAATACTTATTTATATTGGCAAAGCTAAGAAAATGCACGTGCATAAATAATGCACAAGGAGGCATTAGAAAGTAAGGGGAAAGGAAAGAAAAGGTAATTAAAAGAAAAAAGAAGACGAAAGAAAGAAAAGGTAGGCAAATAGCAATCATGGAAAGTTAAGGAAGCATAGAATGAAAGTAAAAGAGAAGATAAGTAAGTAATTAGACGGTTAGCTAATACTAAAATAGAAAACAAAAACAAGGAACGTGAAAGTGAAATATAAGGTCAGCTAACATATTTTCCCCCTCTAGGGTACATAACGGTACCATTGTTCATAGTTACAAGTATTACTGTATGTAGAATCATCAATAAATAGGAAAACATAACATACTGTATTGGCCACCATGAAGTAAGAGTGGGGCCTCTGGCCTATCCGGGGTTCAATTGGACTCGGAGGAACTAAGCATTTACCCAGAAAGAACAGGTGTACATATCTGGTCAAACCTCCATAGTAAAATGATGGGTCGTAGTTGGACTGAACCCATCTAATATATCAGCCAAAGAGTGTATTTGTGGGATTTTGTTCTATTTGATTTTTTTGAAATTATAGAAAAAGTTACAAGGCGTTTTATTAAAGTGATGGTAGTACAGTAGTAAGAAGGTCTCGGCCCCCGTGGCCTCTCAAGGACCCATTTGAGCGGGGAATTGGCCCATAAAGCACATGCGTTATGCACGATTAAGGCTCGATAGTAAAATGCTAGTTAGTAGTAAGAGAACCCACCTTCGTCCCCCTCCACTCCGAGAGTGCATAAACATTAGGCAACTGAGTCCTGTTAATTTTTATACAGAATGCCATAATTAGATTTACAGGACAATATATGAAAAACTACACAATTTCTGATAAGTATATACTGGAAAACATAACTCATTATTGGCAGAGCTTTCAAATGATAACGGACACACCAACTTTTGGTAAGTTTGATTTTTTGACCTTTTGTGTCATGTGACTTTATATATTGGTCTATATCGCTTTAAATATGTCTTATGTTGTTTGGTGTAATGACAATAAATGATCAGTGTATAATTCCCTTTCCATTGACACCAATCATGACCATGTTTTATGTGGTGCGTCAGCCATCTTGGAATTCAAAATGGCGGCCGATGACGTTGGGAAAAAATGGCACCAAACTTTTTTTAATTCAGCGCAGTAAAAATTATAATATTAGTCAATAATATATATTTTTGCACAGAAATCTATCTGGATTACATAGAAAACTATACTAGTAGCTTATATACTCGTTCTTATTTTATGTACATTTTAAATGTAGTAGTAGTTTTTATATGTTTAGTTTGTTGCCTGTCTACAAATTATGAGTTTAGACACCGAAATCATATCTGTAGCTTATATAGTTCCAATTTTATGCACATTTAGATAAATTTGGCGGCCATTTTGAAAAATTATCGCCATTTGTATACAAGGTGTAAAATCAAGTGTCAACAGGGCTTAGGGTGACCAGAAGGGATTGATTAGGATATCTGGATATGTGGATTGCTTCTAACATTCCACTCCCCCTAACTCATTTTTTCCAGATATTTTTTCTAGTCTATATTACTTTTCAGTGTCAACGGCTATCTTGATTTGTATATATATATTGGTCGAGTTCCTAGTCCACATGTAAAGCGCCCTGAGCATCTTACATTAGATGCATATGTGCGCTATATAAAACTATAACATTATTATTGGTGATACGCTAACGTTAGCGGATCACCTATTGTTATTGTACGGAATCATCATCTTCAACTTTCTTATTAGCGGATCACCTCTTGTTATTGTCAGAATCTTTCTTTCTTTCTTTTTCTTCTTTCTTTCTCCCCAAATTTGTGACCACGATAACTCAAGATTGCTTCAACCGATCAACATGATAATTTCAACAATCATTAGTCTTGGGGTGGAATCGATACAATAAGCTTTTCAGCGTGATCAGTCACGCGTGACTTCATCTACGCGCAATTTTGCGTTTTACGTAGC